GGGGGAGGGACGCTACCAGTAGAATGATATACTCGAATGCGGTAAGAAGGAGGTGAGAGCGCGCCAGGAAGTATTGAGAGGTGGTAGGGAAGGGACTCGTGAGGGCTATGGGTTAGGGCTCCCGGCTCCGGGCTCCATAGAGTGGCATAGACCATCCGGATAACCGATGGTGGAGTACTGAGGGGAACTCTCAGATGTCTCGCTTCCATCCTCTACAACAGCCTAAGTTCGTCTACACCCAGGTCTGTGGTTATTGTTCGACTGGTCACTCCCTCTAGCCTCTAGGCTCTGGCCATGACTAACAAAGGAGTTCAAAATTGGTTGAATTATCCAGCGGCTAGCTCATTATGTCAGCAAATATCTGTGTTCGGATTAGGCAGAACCGGATGGGTTTTGGAGATTGGGAGCTGTAGCATTTAAATACGTATCTGGCGGCCAGCTTCTGACCGAAGAGGCAGCTCTCTCTCTTTCTGCCACCTCTCTCCTTGATCCATGGTTCAGTATATTATCTGTAAGGGACGCTGGATCCGGTTTCCAGCAGGAGCAGCTCCCCACCAATAGAATGGAGCCAGTTAAAAAAAAAAGAAAAAAAAAAGAAAAGAAATGGATAGGCACTCAAGTGGCATTCAGGAGGTGACCGCCTGCAGCGCACTTAGTGCCATGTTGCCAACCAAGTTGAACCAACTGTGATAGTCCGCTTGGGCCAATTGTCCCCAAATAAAGGAAAAAAACTTCCAAAAAGACAAATCCGAGATCTCTGCATGTGTGCGCCCACGCAAGTGCGCACACTGTCAGGGGTATGTATGTGTGTATGTCTGTGTGCTTGAGTGCCTGGATGAGCACTTTTGCATTGAGAGATCTCTGGGATGGGATGAGTGGACCCTGTGGACGGGAGAGAGAGAGAGAGAGAGAGAGAGAGAGAGAGAGAGAGAGAGAGAGAGAGAGAGAGAGAGAGAGATGCAGTGCTTGTGCTTACTTGTGGTGTGTGCAGGGTGGGCTTGGTGCAGGTTGTGTGAAATACGATGGGATCAAGCTCGGAGTCAGAGTTTGAGGAAGGTATGAACCGGTGACCGATTGAGCTAAGGAGGCCTTGTCCTCTCTTGAGATAGAAGAGTGCAGCTTTTCTTTTGTTTTGAATTGAATACCCCATTCTATATTGGCGGGTAGCTTTAACTGCCACTCAGCTCTCACAGACAGGATCTTTATTCTCTTTTGCATAACATCTGTCATGAGCTCTAGTCGGAGTAGTCGCTTCCCTTCTGTGTGATCCCCTTCACCTAGTACCTTTTCTGCAGTCTCAGCACTCTGCTTTTGTGTTGTTCTTTTTGTGTGCGATTCGCAGAGGAGCAAGAGGAAGCGATGAATTCAGATGGAATGGAAAATGAAGAGGAGGGAGGGAGAGAAGTAGATGATGGAGACACAGAGGAGGAAGAAGAAGGTGAAGAGGGGGAGGGGGAGGGGGAGGAGGAGGAGGAGGAGGAGGAGGTAGAAATGGGAGAAGAAGAGGAAGCTGCAGCGGACTCGGAGAACGAAACTGACACAAGGGTACAGGAGGAAGAATCGGGGGGAGGTGAAGCAGAGACAGAGCAGCATAGTGAGGCAGAGGAGCATAGTGAGACAGAGGGGAGAGAAGAGGAGAGGGAGGAGGAAGTAGAGGAGAGAGAGCAGGAGGGAGAGGAGGAAGAAGAGGAGAGAGAAGAGGAAGCTGAGGAGGAAGCTGAGGAGGAAGCAGAGGAGGACAGTGAGGTGGAATCTAGAGGTGAAGAGGGTCCGGGAGAGGCCGGAGTCTTGGGTGAAGAAGAGGAAGAAGAGGAGGCAGAGGCAGAGGAAGAAGCAGCTGGATCACGTTCACGAGAGGATGATGAAGACGAGGAAGACGAGGAAGAGGACGGTAAGTGGAATTGTCATCTCTCTGCTGCTAACACATCAGCAAGCAGTAATAAGAATGGAAGCACGCACCACACGCTTCACAGACACTGGGCTAGAAATGACTAAGTGGTGTTTCTCTTTCTTTTTATTTCTTTCCCCCTCCATTTCTTGTCAAAATAGGTGATGATGATCATAGTACAATGAAAAATGCCTCAATCTTGAAGGCTCCTTCACTGCCTTCAGGACTGCAGGTTTGCACCAAGATGTTTGCGTTTATCTATAATAGTGAAAAAAAAGAGGGATCATTTCCTTTTATTTTTACTTCCTGTTTTATATTGAAAGGATTTTACAAAGTGTCGTTGTCCGGAGTCCCGGTCCCAGAGTCCCACCTGGTCCCAGTCCCATGGGTCCCAGTTGGTCCCAGTCGCAAACGTCCTGGTAGGTTCCAGCCTTAGGGTCCTAGAGGTCTGTTGAAGTCCCGTGGAGTCCAGCACTAGAAGTCGAAAAGCCACAGATCGGTAGAAGTCTGGCCCGGTACTCGACAAAAAAGCCACAAAGTCCCAAATGTCATGTGTCGCAGACCAGCAGCAGAGTTCCTGGACCCCTTCCCACCCCACCCATTCTCCATGATGGAGGGGGTTGCCCAAAACTCCAGTGCCCCCTGGCGCAAGCATCCCACAGCGCGGCAGCGGTAATTTTTCCACATGCTCATTTTTCTTGTCAGAAATTCCCATTGCATCATCAGCCGAAGCCAGGTAACAGCCCCGACACGGCACGACTAAAGAGTCATACTTGTATTTGGGACGCTGGACCCAGTTTCCAGCAGGTGTAGCAACCCACCAATAGACTGGAGCAGCTGGAGGTCAAGCTACTAGTTTAGGGGGCTCCTGGGGCTCCTATCAACTCCCCTACTAGTAGCTGGAGTCCGGCTTTTCGAGAAAAAAAAAACAAAACATGTGTCGCAGCAGCATCCAAGCAAAAGTCCGGTGACTTCCGGAGCTAACAATTGCAGCTGAAAGGCTGCAGCGACCATTACCAGTCCGATGCAGAGAAAGACCACCAAGAGCTGCTATTAATAGATGCTACAGTGCCTGTTCGGGTCACTTGTCAATTTGCATGTTGCGGAAGCTCTGCTGTAGTGCTTGTGCGACCAACGAGTTGGACAGTCAGCGGTTGGCAAAGGACGAAGAGGGTGATGGGAGCCATAGCTAGGGTTGAGCGGGAAGAAGGCCACCATAGCGAAGTAGGGTAGAGAGAGAGTGTGTTCAGGGAGGGAGGGAGGGAGAGAGAGAGAGAGAGAGAGAGAGAGAGAGAGAGAGAGAGAGAGA